AAGCAGAATAAAATAAATTTACATAAGTCATAGGACATTGTCAAAGTACAATTGCTAAATACAACGATAATTAAATAAATAAAACACAAAACAGTAATCATGGGGAGAAACTACAGCAAGAAAACACAACAAAATAAAAAATAAAAGTAAAATCAGTAATACGAACATATTAAAAAATGTATAATTTAAATGAAGACTGCATGTTGTTCAGTGTTGGAGAGTGCTGTTTGATATGGAGGGTTTCTTTAATCAATAATTCCGGGTCAGTATTAGACTTGCAGAGGATAGAGAAATTTGATAGTATAGGTTGATGTCCTGTTTCTTCACTATGTTGGCGTATAGAGGAAACTCAGGGGTTACTCAATTTTTTTAAGCCATGGGGGTGTTATATTGTGGTGATCAATCCCACTATTTATTGGAAGGAGTAGTCCAAGAGTTGACATTGGGTGGTGTTGACTAGGTGCATTTTCTCTAGTCTATTACTTCAAAATTAGAGGCAACTAGTGCAGATATTCCTTGAGTAGCTTTTCATAAAATTCAACAAACCAAGAAATCCAGATAGATACTGTTCAAATAGGTTCTCACAAATGCATGCGATTCAGCCCACACCATAATGCTACATATAGTTGAATTATTTACTTACAAACTATTGCAGCATAAATGTGGTTCTCATTTTTGAAACCAGATGAAGCAGCTCTCAATACTTAACAAAACTTGCAACAAATCATTCAGATCCCACTGATTAAGGATTTTACACCAAACAAAAGAATGCTGAATTTTCTTAATGGTGAGATATTGTTTGATATCCCAACCTGTCTGAGTCAACCACATTAAACTCAGCTTATTAAGCCTTTCCTTGTTGAGTTTGTACTAATGCTGTAAACAAAACATGTGACTTGAAATTTACTAATGTCTTTTACGCATTGCAGAGCATGCAACACTTACCCATAATTCTCCATTCTCCTACCTTCTACTTGACTTATTACACAAGTGTCAGGGGATCTTACTTAAACTCTGCTTTCCCATCATAATTTAGATTTTTCATGTTGATAGTTGTACTCTTCACATCATGCTATCTTTTATTATATGGTCAATTCTAAAGATCATGTTGCTTCTGAAGCCAATACTTCTGTTAATGCTTCACTCAGTCCTACTGCTTCTATCAATGATAAAAATTCCACTTCTCATTTGGAAGCTTAATCTCAGCAGTTTTTCTCCAGTATGCAGGGAGTTCCCTTGGCTGAATTGTCAGTCTTTATTGAGTAATGTATGTGGGTCATTAATGCTGAGTCTTTTTTGGGTGCCATGATGAGAATCAGGGTATCATGAATGTCAGTTTGAAGGGTAAACACCCTCTTTCTTTTGCACAAAATTTCTTTGTCAGAAGAGCAGGAGTTATCAGCCAGCCCCACTCCTGATTAAGCTTCTGAAGTTATTTCTCTTTAAGAATCCATTTTGGAAGCTTTATTGCTTCCTCCTTCTCATTTTGGTTGCAGCTAATGCTTTTAAAAATAAAGGCATTCACATGAATTTCTCATTCCATTGGCATTTTGATGGAGTTTTTTCATCTGTTCATTTATCATCTCTAACTTTAGACTCACAGATCTGTTTGCTTTTTTGGGGGGACTGTCCATATGATCTTCCACCCTGCCTTCACATCAGCACCAATCCAATATTTCACTCAGGTCGCATGCTAAGTCATTAATCTCTTTCTCACATCAATTTTTTGGAGCTTTAGGCAGTTCGCTGTGCATCTCTGGAGTTCCTATCTTTGTTTTACTACACACAGACAATTCTTCTGTGGTGGCGTGATCAACAAATATGGTGGGACTCTATCTCATCGCCTTTCTTTTACTGTGGTTTTATACTTCTTTAGTTACATTCACATCATATCATTCTCTGAACTTGTCATGTATCAGGTTTTATGAACATTGCAGCAGATTCACTTTCCAGGGATCATTTGCTTCTTCCAACAAAGTAGACTCTTCACTCATTGATGGTTCAGTCATTATTCCATCGAATCAGTTGTCCTATGTTTGATGTATTTGCAACTGCAGTTCTGGATTCATCTTCCCTAGCAGTGGATGCTGCGAGTCTTATGGGAATAGTTTTTAATGCCTACCCTTCTCTTTGTCTTCCTCCTCATGAATTAGCCAAGATCAGTTGGTCACATTGTCAAGTTCTCTCTATTGCTTCATGTTGGTATGCTTAGCTGTGGTTTCCACAACTCTTACATCTATCTCATAAGGATCCTATTCTGTTACCTCTTTCAAAATATCTTCTGTGCCAGTTGTAGACATTGAGCTTCACAGATGGCTGTTATGTTGTACTTAATCATAGAAATCAGATTCTCTTTTTGAGGAGCTCAAATGTTTTCACATTTTTGCAGATATTCAACCCTGACAATATACCAATCTTGTTGGTCCATCTTTAGGAATCAGTGCCTTTGGAATTCTCTTTCTTGTCTTTTTTCCAACTCTTAAACAGATTGCCACATTTTTCATGTACATGTTTCATGATTGTAGCTTGTCTGTGACTTTATTGCATACTACAGAATTGCTGTCTCTGGCATCTTGAGATGCAACAGAAGCCATCTGCCTTTCATTTTCGGGATCTTTTTCAAGCTTTTCATTTATGAGTATGTAGACTTTGTCTTCAGTGAGATTTAATCAGGAGTAGATTTAACGGTGAGCTAAAGCTGACCCAGGCTATTTGTGTTCATTTGATGTATAATATTGGTATGAATAGAGCCTGCTGGGCCCCTTTTTTTTTGTAGCTGACTAGGCATTTAGGCTTAAATCCGCCCCTGGATTTCAGTCTGGTTGGAAGTTGTCTTACTTCTTCTTTTGAACCCTTAGTGACTTGTTCACTTTACTGTCTTTCCCTGAAGAGGTATTTCCTTCTGTTGCTTTATACTTGTATGCTGATAGAGCCTTCCTGCCAAAGGCTCAGACTGTGTTATCTTGAATACTCTGGCTGACTCAAATTCTTGTTCCAAGGAATACATTATATATTCAGTCCAGACTGTATATTGCTATCTTGCATAAACAGAATTTTAGAGGATCATATCAAACCTTATGACAAATCTCACTCCATGAATCTTGACCATCCACTTTAACTAATTAGCTTATTCAGTTAATTTGTTTTGTTTATCATTATGTTCCCAAACAACTTCAGCACGAATGTCTGGTTATATCTCATGAGATTTGCCACTTGGCTATGCCTCTGATTTCTTGGTCGTGGTACTCTTTAGAGGACATCTTACATGCTGGTATGTTAACAAGTCCAAATACTTTTTTCAATTTTAACATCATCACATTGCTGTCTCTTCATCTTAGGTATTCTGTTTACCACCTGTAGTTATTCACAAGGCTATATGGAATATGTAACACGTTTCTATTTTGCCCAACACCCATCGTTAACCATTTTTAGGGTATCTAGGATTGTGAAGTCTTTAAAAACATAATAAATAAATATATCAAAAATAACTTTGTATATACAGTTTCTTCATTCTAAGGAGATTCTGTATTTCTGTGGATTCATCTAGTCCAGAATCTTGCATGTTTTTGAACCTCGGTGTTTGTCGTAAACATAATTCCACCCTCTGTGCTGGGACTCCATAAGAAGATTTTGCTCTCTGGAAGTAGATAGAGGGTGTCATCCAGTGACCTTTATTACTTCTGGATGCACATCCTTGTATGGTATTAAAAAAAATTGGAAAGAGGATGTCCATTATTAGTAGTTGCTTCAACCACAACCAGGAAGGAGATCATCTGGGATTTTGTCTTGTAGAAAAAGGACTAACCTGACTACAGGGTTATCTTTATTTGCCAATGGTGAGGAACTACTGATTTAACTCCAATTAATTTGCTCACCAGTGTTGGAGTACAGACTTATAGAAAAAGGAATAACGTGACTTCAAAGTTATCTTAACTTATCAGTGGTTGAAAAATACCAGCTTAACTCCAAATATTTCACTCATCTGAGCACCTTCTAATTTGGCCAGTTTCATAACACACTGACCTTTTTAGCTATGAAAGAAGAGAGGCTTACCTGTGGACTATATCCACTCTTAATATTTGACTGGGCTGATCCTTCAAGAACCTCTCAGTACAAGAGCAGAACACAGTATTCTTCCTATCTGTTTATGCCACCACCTGTGTTCCCATTGTTTTCTCTACAGGTAAAATAAAACATTACCACCCTCACCAAACTCCCTTGTGTAAAATGAAGGGCATCAAGGGCAAAGAAGAGCACTGCTGAGTGTTTTTTGAGTCCAGCCTTTGTATAAGGCTGGTCTGTTTCACTCATTCTCCCTTTAATTCAGTTAAGATTTTTTTTTTCTGGTTCTGGATTCTATTCTGAACCTGCTTAGCTACATCTTTATTGTACTCTTGAATGTCATCTTCCTGCCCTGTAGCTTCTGACTTTATAAGATTCCTATATCATTTTCAGTTACACCAGTTTCCATCTCCTTGTCAGTGTGGGTATTCTGGCTTACAGTACTTCACAGATAGGACTATTTTATTTGAATTTTACATTTGTAGAAAACTAAAAAGAAGTTCAGATGAGTACTTCATAAAACTTTCACATTCATCTCCCCTCAACCAAGTTTTCATCATGACTTTAGTTTTCTATAAAATCTAAATTATGATGGGAAAACAGAGCATATGCAAGATCCTCTGTTGTTTGTGTAATAACTCATGTGGAAGTGTTAAATGATGCATGCACTGCATGCTGTAAATGTTGACAGCATGAATACAAACTCCACAAAGAAAGGGCTTGCAGTATTTCAAAACTTATAAGAAGCCTTTCCTTATTCTGAAATACTGTAAGCCTTTTTTACAGCATTTCAGAGGTAAGTACCTGTTTGGAATTCCTGTTAATTTTAAGAATGTAAAAGTCATTAAAATCACTGCATAAGCTTCACAGGTAGTACCTATATGCCAATGGCCACACTTGGTGCAGTATTATTATGAAGCTGTTGCATATATGATTCCTAGCATTTTTCATGCCCAGACAAAATTTGTTACAGAATCTGAATGTTTTGAAATGTAGTAATATGAAGTTTTTAATATTGCTGAATGATTTTGTGTATAGCAGACTGTTCATAACAAGCATTGCAGCTATTTAACTTATCAATTTTCCAACAGCTTGTAATATTTATTTTTCAAATTAAAAAAAAATTCATTTTGGCATCTCATGCACACTTTCACTTGACTAATCTACTTCTCAGGTTGTCTATTTATTTTTATTGAGCTACCTTAGAGTCCATTCTTGATGGGCCATGTTATATATTCAAGGGTTTGTCTGGATATTCTTAGCAGGACATTGTAATTACTCTTTTGAACTGTATATGTGATGAAAACAAAAAAAATCTTAGTAACTTTTTTGTTGCTATTGCAAGTTTGGAATTTTGTAACATCGTAAAGAAAGGTTATTTCCCCTCCCAATTTCCCAATGTTTACCAATTTCAAGTTTCAGATAAGTACTGAATTATTGAAACATGTCTTCTTTTTTTCTTGTGTATCAAAAAATAAACCTGGCACAGCAAGAGTTGTTTATCCTCTTTAAACATTTAAAGAGTTAATGTTAATTACATGAATCATACTTTATAGTTGGTAGGATTTTAAGGAACTTTAAATATTAAACACGTGACAGTTGTCAATAAAAATGTACATTTATTGAGAGTAAACCATGAATATATAATATTATTTTTTCTAAATCTTTTAGCACATTTTACATCACATCTTTGGTATGAGACTTTGATTTAAATTGATATATTCAAAACTTTAGACATTGTAGCATTGTGTATCTACTGTTTATTTGTTTTTTCAGTTGACTCTAGACTCCCATTTTATGACTGACATGGGTCTGGATAGTTTAGATCATGTGGAGGTTGTCATGGCAATGGAGGATGAATTTGGTATTGTTATACTTAATTTTTTTTGGCTCTAATATTACAGAAAATTTAAATATGTAACAGATACTAAAACAGTCATGACTTTAATTTTTATTTTATTACTCATGTAATTTAAAAAGTATAAATTTAGTCAGTTTTAACTAATTACTGTGTAAAATTTAAATGTAATCTTTATAAGCAGAATAGAGCTTAAGAATGCTGAGGTAAGGCAACTGTAATACCATCAAATAATTATTGAATTTTGCATAATTTTTGTAGTCATTCTCTTTCCCTGTCATCATTTCATTTGCTGTTTCTTTATTCAGACATAATTTTCAGTTATATGATGCTTATTATATGAAGCTCAACAATGTATCAAGCACTTTGCTAAAGATAGCACTAATTTCACAGAATACTTTTGCTGATGCACCATTGTAACATGAAAGCATGTTAGTGAGCATGAGGGTATACTATCTTACATTATGTATCTGAAAATTATGATTACCTTCTCAGTACAAAACCCAATATTCTCATTGCATTTAAGATATATATTAGTAAAGACATTTTAGTAGTACCATATAACACTATTTTGAAAAACCAGTTTAAGGTATAGTATAGTTGGGTAGTATGATTATAATATGTATTATAATTTAGAGTACTATTTAAAGAACTAAAACATGAATATATTTCATCAAGTCATGAGTTCAGTTGTCTGTCCGTCAATCATGCTTTTGGCTGTAGTGTTTTTTCTTAAAATTTAATACATTATTTTCAGACAGGATTCTATTGTTATTAAGTTATGTGTGAAATAATTTGAATGAGTTTATATAAATGAAAGGCATTTTTGATGTTCTTCAGGTTTTGAAATCCCAGATTCAGATGCAGAACGACTGCTGAGGCCTAATGATATTATTAGATATGTAGCTGATAAGGAAGATGTATATGAATAACCATGGGTAAGTGACATAAATACTAATTAAGATTTATCACAATACAGTGTGAATTTGGTTAACAATTTTTAGTTTTATCCTAATAAGCAAAAGAAAAATGTTACATTAAACTGATTTGAACATTCTTTATTTTAAAAAGGAAGTGTTTGGCAGATTTAACTGCCCTTAAGGCCACAAGTATATCTGTAAACAAGACATTTAATTAAGAAAAAAATAAAGAAATAAACTCGTCCAAATTAAAAATTCAATTAAAAAAAGATCAATATAAGAAACAAAAATTAAGATGATCAAAGTCCTGTCAGATAATTATTGAAGTGTAAGTTCCTATTTTCTAAAAAGAGGAAGCAAAAAAAGCAGTTTCTTAATAAGTTAAAAATATAGTAATTTATATAATGTTTTTAGGTTTATAGATCCTGAACCAAAAATTCTTAGTTTGGTGTACATGAGTTGCCATATGTAGTGTATATATTATGATATCATTACAGTTCTTTGAATTACAATTAAACATGATTCTAAAGATTACTTTATCATGATTAATTTGAATTATTCCAAAATTCATCTAATTTCTGATAAAAAACTTGGCTTTGTGTGATATCTATGTTGCAGAGCTATATAATGTTTTCCATTTATCTAAAACATTAGATAAGAGATACTGAAATGAAACATAAGATTAAGTTCTTCAGTTTGACAGATTTGTTTTGAAGTTCCTATCTTTTGTAAATCAATTTTAGATATAGTAGTGTGTAGTGAATAGCAGAATAACTGCTGTCATCCTATGTGTGTGTGTGTGTGTGCCTATATATATATATGTATAGTTGTGGGCCAAAATTATTTTAGCTGAGAAATTTATAATGCTGGCAGGATATTAGAATACAAATTAAAAAGTTAAGTTTAAATTTGTGTGATATTAGGTTTATACCATTAACATAATTATCATAAAGATAAAGACGCATCGTTCTTGTAATGAAGAGCACAATTACTTCCAGTCTAGTTAGTGATGACCATAAAGACAAGTTTCAAAAAATGATGTATAATTTTTTTTAGTGGAAAATAATTTTTATTTTAAGCTGATTTAAAAAAAAGTGTTTCGCAGATACTGGCTGGGAAAAAAAAAAGGGAAGTTAATGAAAGACAACATCTCTGGGAGTTTGCATACTGAAATGAGATCATGTTTTACTACAAATACTACACATTATCAAATGCATTTTAATGTAATTCCTTTTTGAAGATTTATATTAAAAATACAATTGTTCATTGGATATCGCTACCCTAATACCAGCATTATTTCAACAGTAATGACAAATGATACCTATTTCATAAGAAAATTATCATAAATACAAAAAAGTGGTATTGTAAGGTGAAGTATTCAACTGAGGAAAGGTGTGGAATACTTGTTTATGATCTCAAGGCTTTCATACTTCACCCATCCTCAGTAATAATGATTTTTGAAACCATATAATATTCATCCCCATCACACCAAACATGCTCGCCCATTCAGCTGTGGAGGTGTTATAAAATGATGGTCAATCCCAATATTCATTGGTTAAAAACTGGCCCAAGAGTTGGCAATGGGTGGTGTTGACTAGCTGGCTTTTCTCTAGTCTGTCGCTGCTAAGTTAGGGATGGCTAGCGCAGATAGCCCTCGGGTAGCTTTACACAAAATTCCAAACTAATCCTACAGCTAAAAAAGTATGTCTGTAAAGTCTTGTATTATAAGTTCATATTACTAATGTGAGAAACCACTAAGTTTTACTTTAAAGTGATTGATTTTATACCCCAAAGCCATTCATGGTTATGGATTAAGTCGTACAAAAGAAAAATTAAACATAGGTTTTTGCTGTTATTGTAGTTAGCAGATTTCTTGTAGTTCTGAAGTATATAATGTACACACAGATGAAAGTTTTGAATGATACATTAATTAATTTTCTGATATAAATTCGTTGAGCTATTCTTTGTTAATCCTTGTTTATTATGAAAGTAACTATAATCTCTTTATATACAGGGTGTGAAAAAATCTAATTTTCTTTAGCTGAGAGTTCCAGCTTCTATGGAAACACTACTGGAATAGAAAATGAGTAATGTCTGAATTGAGTTATTTCACTTTTATTGTAGTTATTTCATTATGAATAAACTGAGATAATAAAAAAAATTCTGTTCAATGTAATGCTGGAAAAAGTACAGTTTTATTACTCCCAAAACAAAAATAATAAATTTCTCTAAGTGCAGGAAGTCTTAACTTCTTTCAGACTGAGATTTTTAATTAATAAGATGCTAAACAAATCAAATTATTACAAAATTGTAAAATTATTTTCTTAACATTTTTATAAACAATATTTTTAATTGAGTGAAGAACTTTAAGCAAATTGAAAATATATCATCTACCAACATTTCCATACTTGTCTCTTAGTTTTTCATACAAGAATCAATATCTTTGATAGGTTGTTTAGGCATAGTGTTCATAATGAATCTAAGTTTCAAATGGACAGCAACTGTCTGTTGTAGAAACCTACAAATGTAGAGGACAACATTTCGAAAATCTTCCGCCTTTCGTCTTCAGGAAGAAGACGTTCGAAACGCCGTCCTCTACATTTGTAGGTTTCTACAACAGA